AAGTCTTTGTTTTGCTATGGTTGCAAATATCAAAAAATTTCTCTATGTGACACGGCACCAGAGTTCAGTTATGGTTTTTCAAAATGCTGACACGCCGAGCTCAAAAGGTTCGCCATCGCTGGTCTAATATGTTATTATAAAAAATGTTAGGCATTCCTTTAATGATCAGCGTGCACTCATGAATGTGGCTGACGCACTGCCCAGAGCATGGCACCTCAGCATGAAGCCAAACAAACGGATGGAGGCCAAGATGCGGGTGCCGTGGCTTAACGAGCTTACATTTAGGGTGGAGAGACATCACTTCTTGGCAGCTGGAAAATAATCAATTGTATCCAGAATTCAAGAGAGAACTTAGAAATTCCTAGATTTAAACATTTTAAAACTGAAAATGAAAACATGATTCGGTGGGCAGAACACATGCTTCCCAGAGAGCGGGGAAAAGACCTCATGAAATGACATGGGGAAGAGTGGTCTGTCACCCCGCTGTTCGACCATCAAACGCAGGGGCCACATTTTATTAATCCAGCAACCGTTACAGCCTTGAGGACAAAGCATGTGCTTAATAAATGTCCATGGAATGAAAGCTTCCACACACCCCCAGGTCGTACACACTGGGCAGAGAAGACACCGTATCTAATAGACTAACTTCTTGTGATAACATCTGTGTCTCCACAACTTTATTTTCTTTGCTCTGATGTCCTTGAATTGGACTACTAAGCACCTGGCACAGCTCTGTACCCACACACTTGAGTATCGTGAGCCTGGTCAGATGACAGCCCACGGACGGAGGAGAGGAGATCCAGGACAGAAGCATGCACAGCACCAGAGCAGCCTTCACTGAAGAAAAATGTTAATAATCCTGCTGGTGTGGCTCAGTGGTTGAGCACTGACCTATCAACCAGGAGGTGATGGTTTCATTCCCCGATCAGGGCACATGGTTGGGTTGCAGGCTTGATGCCCAGTAGGGGCCATGCAGGAGGCAGGCGATCAATGATTCTCTCTCATCATTGATATTTCTATCTCTCACTCTCTCCCTCTCTCTTCCTCTCTGAAATCAATAAAAATATATTTTAAAAAGTTAAATCAAATAATGTTAACAGAAATCACCTAAATTTCAAACAGACTGCCAGTCAATAATTATCAATTTGATTTTGTGTAGGCCTCTCAAGGGGTGTAGGGTAAATAGTCCTTAATTGTCCTGACAGCACTAACACTTGTTCTTAGGAATTGTGCACTGTAGCTTTTAGAAAACCTGGCTTAACAAAATGTCATAATTTTTACTCCTCTAAAAACAAATCAACTATAAAAAGAAGTCCCCATGTCAGCATATCAACTGTTTTGCATTTGAATTATCTTGTCGAGTTCAAAACAATGAAACAAAACTAAAATCATTTAGGCATGTGGCAATTAAGAGAACAAGAGATAAAGATAAAAACACCACTTAGAAAAAAAATCAAATAAAAGCACCCCAGTTAAGTGCCTATTCCTCCGCAAAGATTTCCATCTGCATAGCTTCCTCAGAAAGGCTCACACACAATGTAATTTTATATCCATTTCTGCTTCTATTTCTGCACTGAAATATTTAGAGAGAGCTCAGTATTTCTGGAGTAAATTATACCTAGATCTTGATAAAGCTGAAATCACCTAAATTACACCTTTATGTTCAATTACTTGGAAGAATGGAGAAAGAAAGCTTGACAAAATTAAAATACGTATTTAAAAATGGCCACTGCATAGCTATAATTGTACACCTTAGTGAATATTGATGCTTTGAGGGTTATATGCACTCACCACAGCTGTT